GAGAGTCTGATAAGACTCTCTTCGTCGGATAAGCCTCCTCTTTTTTCCCGCGGGCGAAGCCATCGCTTGCAACTCGCCCACAAGCGCCCTTCGTCAACCACTTCACTCAGAAGAAAATTCTTCCCAAAAAGGGCGTGTCGCGATCCTTGAACACGCTTTTAACGAGGAAAAAAAGCTACGCACGGTTGTGGTTTCGGGTTAGTTGGGATGCTTAGAGCGTCCAGATTGAGTTGTCGCCACAAAAGGACAATCTCAGAATCGACTTCAGTGCCCCTTTAAGAGAAGCAGTAACCATTCACCTGACATCTGAAGGTTGGCATATTGAATGCTTCACCAGAAAAAAGTGGAGGGAAATGAGGGAATATTGGCTGCTCTGAAGCCACTAGAAGAAGCAACAATCAACACTGGAGCTGATACCTACCCAATGTTTTCAGCCCAGATGCACATCCTGTAGTATAGTATCCTTGCGTGTATGAACCCCATCAGCCAGCAGACCGTGACTTCCTCAAGTGCTTTGAGACAACAAGATTTCCCAACTACAAATTTGACCAAGTAGCAAGCTTGACAATATTCCTAGACCCAAAATTCAAGGCACTGGTCTACAAAGAGGACAGGTAGATAGGGAACTGGCTGAAGAGCCTCGAGGTTGAGGAGGCAAAACAAATTTCTGAGACACAGAGAAGTGCAGAGGTGTCCTCGGCATCAACAGCCCCTGAAGTTCCTTCCACGTGAACACTGTGGCAAAACTTGGTCATCCTCATTAAACAAAAGCAGCATTCAGTGCCATAAGCTGAAAAGGGTGCTAAGAGATACCCCCTGTTGGCTCGAATTGCAAGGAGGTGCCTGGCTGTATGAGCCATGAGCGTGTCTAGCGAGTGCCTTTTTTCAGCATGTGGGGAATTGTCACCAGCAGGAGAACATCACTGCTTTCAGAACTTGTTGCATACAAATCTTTACAATAACATTCAGTAACTTTACTCCTTGAGTGGTGTTTTACTTATTGATCTTCTATCAGCTTTTTTACCAGTCATATGTGTGTGACATTTTTTTTATTGCAATAAAGTTAACCTTTTAATATTTATGTTCCTGAAAGAGATTCTTAGTTGTGAGTTGACAGAATATTCTAATTTAATTTGCATCAAATAGAAAATATTGGCATTAAAAAGTATTCTATTCGATTTGCAACTTTTACTATCCAATTCAAAAGATTTTAATATTCACACACCTCTCAAAATTCCAATTGCTTGTAAAAGTCACAATTTTTAACAAGTAGTTTTATCAGCTTTTAAATATCCTGCCTGATGAATGCCGTTAGAAAGTTTCACTCCAGTAACTAAATTGTTTTCTTCCAGAATAATTAAGTTGTTTCCGACACGCCACCCGCACCTAAAGTGCAACTTTCTTAAAGGCCGACATACAACCTCGGTTTTCCGCAGGGAAGATAATCCTCTTAGCGCTCCCCTCTTCTGGGCTTCGAGGGGTGCCACGCTGGGGCAAGGTAAAAAGTGAAGAGGATATAGGAAAGGAGGAGGCGGGCAAGAGTGGAAAGTGTTAAAGTGTACGTCGGCCTTTAATTAACTTTCAAACTCCTTAATCTCGGTTTCACTTTTTGGCATCAAATCTCGGTTCAGGAAAACTATCACTTGATAATTAATTGATGTGGGGAGCCAGTTTTTAAGTTACCATACTGAAATTTTGTAAGGAGCATGGCTGTGAGCTTAGTTTATGCATTTTCATAGTCTCTTTTGTTGAGAAAGGGTGCACTTTCAACCAATGCATGCATTATAAACTTTTTTTCTACATTTTTTATTAAAAATTATACAATTTTAGCCATTATATCATATATAGCCATTATACCATATTCAATAGCCATTATGCTGTATTACATTTTCTAAGCAATAGCCAAGTCCTTCAATTAGCTAATGATCACACAACTTCTTTGTAATGCTCTATGGAAGAGCTTGGTACGCGACCAGGCGTGGCGTTGGCATCGACAAAGGGGTTAGAAGCTGCCAATCTAGCCTGCACTGCTGGGAAAATGGCAAACCGAAAGTGTTGGAATTTTGAACCTCCTTTGAATGAGCCATCTATAAATCAAGGTAACACGTCATTGCACCGACATTGTTTGTCATGCAAGCATCTTCGGCTCTGTACACTCAACCAACTGCTCAATCTTGTACAACTGCAACAATCTCCAAAATAATATCATTTTTATTCCTTTTTCGTCTCAAAACGACCTTTCAATACCCCCCTCACCAACGAAATTCAGTGCCATGAGTAGCACCATCTAGTAAAGACACTGCAAGCAAGTACGCTCCATTGCCTAACTCTTTTTCGCTTGCAAAAGCATTTTCTTTTAAAACAACCTTAAAAAAACTTATTTGTAAGTTCTCTTATTAGAGATCAATAAAGAATGACCGATGCTTGCATACAGCAATCAAATACAGGCGTAACAAAATTTTGATGCATGATGAAACTGTTTTCGAAAACTACTTGTAATCGGGAATTTTGGTCTCCTTGCACCACAGGCCTTCTTATTCTAATCTCTTGATGCATAATCAATGATCGGGACACAAGTGCTCTATCCACAAGAATCCAGCTGTTTGCATGAAATATCTTAATAACGCTCCCCAGAAAAACCTGCATCAGTTTGAATTTATCTGGAAAACTCCGATGACTGAAATCATGAGGGCAAAAAGCTCCCAAGACTTAGCGCCGGGTCATCGATTCTATGCAGCGGTCGCCCCAATGTCCCAACTATGAACAGTTTAGCGTCAACGTCCTTCCAGGACACGGGATCAATTTTGCTGCATTATGAGGTCCCAAACAGCAGCAAATCCAAGAGCGGCGGCGAGCCAGCCAAGACTCATTGGACCTTGCTACAGTGAAGAGGCGGCAGTGTTTTCAGAACAGGAGATACCATATCCTGCATGTTTCGCATAGACATAGCTCACAATGCAACTGGCTTTCTGCAATATTTTGGTGCCAGTTTTGGACAACATTATTTCTTCCTATTCACAAGCTTAACGAAATTGGAATAAGAAAATTTAGCATAGATACATTAGAGATTAAAAACTGCAACACGTTCCGGGCAAGTGTTGGAGGCAGAGTCTCCATTGCATTCTTGTTGTCGACTGTAAACCGCGGCTACGACGTTGCACCACTGCAGTGGCACTACTGTCGGCATGGCACATGCGCAGGTGCTTTTCCTCATGTAAATTTAGTTTCTGCACCCACACAGTGCCCACACCTAGTGTGGGCAAATGCGGGCTTCTTAGTAAGCAGCGCATAGGCTCATAGGGGCTATTCACTGGATGCCATATTCGTGGGTGCTGTTTAGGGCGCAGGCTTAGGACGAGCTCGCGTTACAGGAAACGTTAAGTGATTTTTGCCTTCGTTAAAAACTACTTAGAATCACCCCCCAATGTTAATAACAAAATAAAATGGCCTTAGTTTTTCTTTCTAGTCAATTACAGTCGGCAAACAATATTAGAGAAATCTGAGCATCGTTCATCCCCTCAACTCGGAGCCAGAACAAGTGGCCACGTGACCTGGTGTCTATCCTATGTTGACAACGTTAATCATAGCCACGCACTGGGGTTGGCAAAGTAGAACACGCGGGCCGAGCTCCAGGCGTTGTTAGAGTTTGGCTATACTCACTACCGCAGTCGTTGGACACGAGCTAATACCCGAGCGTCCACCGAGCCATTGCTTGTTACAAGCCAAACTCGAGTGCTCATGCAGTTTTCATGTCCAATTCATGAGCCGCGCTCGACTGTTGTCAGGCAAGTGGTTTGGATACTACAATTACGTCGTCAAGCTTTGCAAAGGCAAGACTGAAAAGTTGTTTTATTTTTGCAATTTCACCATAACTATTCTGAATCAGTGGTGGTTTGTGCGAGTATACTTGGGCCAGACTAGGACTGGTCAACTCTGCAATGTCACGACCATTCCAACCCGATATCATTCCACGACCCCTTTAATAGGTTGCCAAGACCGGCAATCTTGGTTTGAAATGCACGTTGAAAAAGAACCATGGAAGCTCGCCATCAGCACGCGCTTGGCACTCGCAGCTATGGTCGCCAGTGAATACTCCCTACAGCAGGGGTCGCAAACACGAGGCCCACAATTTGCAGAACACTGCCCAAAGGCAACTGGCTGCGAGTCCCCGTTTATACGTCTCGAGTGCTCGATATGGCATGCACTATAGTGATATCTCGCAGATTCATTTCCATTCGAAACACAGCTCTGGTAACTTTATTCATATAGTTTGCATTTATTTACCTGTGCTTATTTGCCTTGCGTATCACCTTACAATTTGCGTCCCATCTTTTTGTCATGTTAATCACCTGTACAACAGTTCCACAACCAGGATGCAAGCAAAAGCTCTTCGTTGAAAGACTCATCTCCAATGTCTGAACTCTCGGTCAGCATATATAGCTGTTACACAGCTGTAATAGCTATATCTTAGGCTATATGTCAAAGATATAGCTATAAGCTCGGCATTCTTGCCTTCAGAAAATATAAAGATTAAATACAAACATTTTCTCACTTATAAAAATAGTCAGGAAAGCAGGAACTGTCGTATAAATAGCAACTGTTTTTTGGACGCGTTGAGCTCGACTAATTTTTGAGTAAATTAAGCAACGGGAACGAACCTCGGTATGCTTGCTGTCCTGTTCTAATAAAAGTGCCAGCACTTTGGTGGGCAGTGCACATTTTTATCCCCCCCAAGTTGGCCCTCAACCTTTGGGGGTGGGCTAACTGACCACCACATACAAGTGAGACCCGTGGTCTAAGTAGGGAAATATTCACAAAGCATACCAACTCATACGGTAAAGTTTGGCGATCCTGAGCAAAGCACAAACACAAAATGCCCCCCAAAAAGTGCAAACATTGAATTTTCAGCTGACCGTGTTGCACATAGATGGTTCCATCCAGCAAACATCTCCCAGAGACTCGGCGGCATGGGGGGAAGACACAAACTCCGAGAGCAGACGTCGCGAGATAAACCTTTATTATGCCGACGGACACGCACGAGACATTTCTCCCCTCCGGAGATGCCACTATACAGACGAGAAGAAACAAGCTCCGCTCATAAATAAAACGCCTCTTTGAAACAAGGAACAGAGAAGGGAAGAGTTAGCCGGACTTGAAGAGCAGGATGGCCACCTGTCCCAGGTAGAAGTAGATGAAGTGCTTCGTCTCGTGGGTCACGTACGAGCCAAAGTTGCGCCCCACGATGCAGTGCCAGGTCGGGTTGTACTTCTTGTCAAACTCCTTCTTGATGTAGGCTGCAATGTCCTTCTCAATGTTGTACTTCTCCAGGGCCTGGGTGGCCACGTCCACCGCATCCTGCTGCATCTCCTCCGACATGTCCGCATTCTTGATCACTGCCTTCTTGTCAGACATCCTGCGCACGCAGACGACGGGCGCTCAGTACTCACCAGATGGGGGCACGATCGGCCACTTAAATCAGTGGTTCTCAAGCGCTTCCTACGCAATAAACCAATAAAATGAAGCCTGTAAACTATAAGGCGCAAAACTAGGGAGTGCTTGGCTCATAGATATGCACTAAAGGATGAAGGGGGAACGGCCGGGTTGCAATGGCTCAATTACAGCCAAGATACCAGACACCGATTGAGGCTAACTAACTTCTGACTGCCTAACATACAACACAATTATTATTATACATTTATGACAAAGTCCCACAAAAAAGAGTGCTTAAACTGGCAAGGACGGCTGCGGGGGACACTCAGGAGCTCGGGGAACCAATGTGGGTACTCTGGGGAACCCAGCTTTGAAAACCCGTGTCCTAGGTAACATCGGAACAGTGCCCGCCCTTCTGTCACCTACAAGACGGCGGAAGGCACCAATCGAACACAATGCCGGGCAGGTGTTCAGACAGTCTCGTGCCCTCCCCTACCCAGCATGAGTCTCAGAGAGTGCTGATGCAGTGCTCATCTGTGGCCCGTGCTGGCTTCTCGTCGGGCGACACGAAAAATCCAACACCACCCGTGCTCACGCAAGTGGGCGTGTCTGATTGTGCCGTGCCCTCGGCATCCTGCATTACCTCATTGAAGGGCTCGAGGCTATAGCCAGGGTCCTTCTAACCGCCGTCTCCTCTGGCCATTTTCCTTCCTCCTTGCACTCCAGTTTTCTGCTACCGTAAAATACCGGGCAAGCGCCCACTCAAACTTTGGTGACAATCGCAAAAAAATGGAGGATGGGCGCTTGACCGGTCAACTTTACATATAAATATACTGTGCATATTTTCTCGGATCTTACAAATTTGGTAATGGGCGCTTAATGTGGAATGGGCGGATGCGCGGTATTCTACGGTACTTTAAGAACGTCAAGATTTTACGAGCTACAGATAAACGCGAGATGAGGAGCGCTTCCCACTTGAAAAGTCAAACTCGGCAAGTGACAGAAAGTATCTTCGTCTTGTTTTCCCGAACTATTCATTTAAGTGTACCACTAACATAGATGGTGGGGGTGGGGGTGTGTTTAGTCCCCCCCGTCTATGTTTACTCCCGTTTACACTTGAGAGTAATTTAGAAGAGGGGCAGGTCAGACGAAGGAATTCTCCAGAATAATGCTATCGACTGCGGCGAATGTCGGGGCACAAATGCAATGCAACAATGGATCTTTCTCCAGTAAGTTTCTGCGCATGCGTACACTCCCGTCGTCGCCATTTTCGCAGGACGCCAAGACGCGGTGCCCTGCGAAAATGGCAACAACATGGTCAGCCTCTATCTTCGCGCATATTTAGTCCATTTTGATGCTTTGTTATTTTAGTATAGGTAGTATGTGTGACAAGTATGTAGCGCCCCCTCCAGTCCACCCGTTTGTCTCTGCCAGACTTGACGGGCAACACTGATCAACGTGCCGAATAAACGCCGTGGAGCGCACACCGCCCCAGTCAGTCATTGTCCGCCCTCACAACCAGGCCGCGAGTCGTCTCTTCTCGGCGGGTGTTTCGGCCCCCTTCGTCTACGTTCTAGAAGGAGCGTGACAGTGTGGGGTATAAAAAGCACTGAAAACCGATACAAAGGCACGATGGCAATCTGTTTTGATGGGCAGAGGCATGTTGGGCTGCTCTTCTCTTGTACTTCGCAGACAACTCCCCAGACGGTGCTCGTTACTCAAAAAAAATTCATAGAAAAAGAAAAAGAAAAATAAAACAGCAAAGCTTGCATAAATTATTGCGTCATCCGCAACTTACCATGCCTAAACTGTTGAGAGACACATTTTTGAGCACTAAAATACTGTGCTTGATGTGGGATACATCGCCCATGTTAAATGGAACATTTTTCTTAGAATTAAAGAAAACTTCACATTATCAATAACAAACAGTTTCAATAATTTTGCCAGACAATGCATGCGACATATAGCAAAAACATCCTCTACTCACCCATTAGCATCCTCAAATGAAAGAAAAACACAGGTTCCTAATTTAACAATCAAAGAAAAAAAACTAAACGACTCTTGAGATGAATGGTTTTGCGTGAAGAGCACGAGGATGGAGCGACGAAACTAAGTGACCTCTGGAGACTGTGCCTACTAACGGAGGCCTTTTGGTGGCTGACAGGGGAACAAGCTGAAGACACGTCCTTTAGCGAAGCTAGGCTGTGCACACCGGATATGAGGGTAGTGCAGGAATTCTCAGACTGATGGACCCCTTCCAGGGTCTGCTGTTCACATGCCCAGGGGCGGCAGGCGCGGCTGCTCTGCCATATTTGGCGGTGCCCACAGGACGATGTCAGCAGTCACCAAGAGTTGGAGGTAGCCCGGCGTATTAATTGCAATGTTTCGCAATTTTGTTTTGCCTTCATTCGCAGCAGTGATATGGGCACAACAGCCGACCGGGGAATGGCAGAAAACCAGTAGAAGAGCTTCCCAATTTGCAGACGGATGACAGCGCACATCTTTGGGAGAGGCCTGTTAAAGCCAATGAGCACAGAAGACTGCGCAGGGTGTGACGGTTACTCGCTTGTATGTTACCACCAAAAGTAAAATGCATAGAGTGAGACATAAATGGCACCATCTGCAAAATTATGTATGAAACTGATGGCACCAAGAGGACAACGGCAGAGGGCCTCTTCTGGAAGCTTGACCTCTAGCGTGCGCTCCTTGCTTTCTGCCGTGCTCTGCATATGCAAGCATGCCAGAGGCTCACCAGATGCTGAAGCATTAAAAAGGGTAGCAAGCTCGTGCCAGAAGCGGGTCAACTGAAACTTTCCCCTGCTATGTTTATTCAGTCAGCGACTACAAACTGGAAACATGCAGACTTTTAATTAGGCTTCTACATGGTATTGAATTTAAGGAAAGGTCTTATCTAATCAATGAGAGAAGCCCTCGTCTTGGCTGGCAGATTCAAATAATCAGATTCCAGTTCATAGGAACTTATAGAGTAAGAAAACGTTATACTCTGCATTGTTCACTGATTACCGGTCGTTAACTCATCGGCGAGGCAAACAAGGCGCAAATCAAGCGGCAGTCGAACTGCAGCAACCCCACGTGTTTTGAGGGAGTTACGATAATCAACCAAAGGTTATTTCGCTTCTTTTAACGAATCTAGGACCTTTCTGTGGATGCAACCTACTCGTCAACTTTACTTGGAAGCACGTGGGTAGTCGAAGATTTGCGCAACTAAGGCGACATCCTCGGTGCGGTAAAAAGTGGGACAAGGTCACGCTCCACGTTAATTTATACCACGATAAACGTCAGGTATCTTCGTTTACGTTGTGACTCCTCTAACTGGCTTCAAAATAAGACTTTCTCGGGTGGCCAACAATAATACTTTGTTCATGTGTCGCAACACGACGGATGAACTTTGTCGCAATACGACGAACCTGTCAGTCTTCGTTGGCGTACCCTGTGCCTGGTCAAATACGTTCCGGTGACTTCCCATAGTCTGGTACCTCTTTGGCACAAAAAGCATGACTATTTGGTCCTTGGGCAACAATCCTAAGCAGCGAGCCTGTCTCCCGCCATGCTTCGTGGACGCAGGCGCCGGCCAGCGTTCTTGCATTGCAGGGCAAAGAACAAACACTCCGCGAAACTGGTGGTCGTATCACGGCGGACTGGGCATCATAAGTGCATAAGACACACTTCGGTCTTTGAGCGCTTGAGGCAAAGTGAAAGAAGCATGCCGATATAAACGTTCGAGCATCAGCCGGCACTCGCGGCTTCGATGGAATGCGGCCCCATTACTTGCGGGACGTAATCGAAATCGCAAAGCTCCGTCCCGTCGAGTTTCTCACCTGAGGCTGGCTTCCTGAGGCGAATTCCAGATGAAATTTGACAAAACTTGACGAATATTCGGGAGGCACAGTCGAGCGACTTTTCTTTACCGGCAAGCGCCAACTTCCAATAGAACGCAGCACGTCCCACATAAGACGTTAACATCCCATTGGTCAGGGGGATTTCAAAGAAGCCAGATCATTGGCTGTACGGGGGACTTCTGTCTGGTCTTCTATCAGCCCACAATGCACCGCGGGGGCCTCGGGTGTTTTCGTTTCTCCGACTTCTTTCACTTACAGGTCTGATGACGTCATAGAAACAACAAGTTGGTCGTTTTTTACATGAGGGGTTCTTCGGGTTTTTCACCCATCAAGCTCCGTGGTTAGAGAAAAATAATGTTCATGTATTTACTTACAATCTATTTTTCATTTCACTTTAAAGTAAAAGTTCCGCAGCTCAGCGTCTGTATTCGAAACCGCAAGACTTCTGGAAGAACTGCCAGTTTTTCAACCGGTGGCCCCGGTGGCGGCGTGGCGGTTGGTTTTGTTATGGTGGCTAGAAGGGGAAGTGTGACGGGCGCCGTATGCGCACCATGTCAGAGAGGGGCGCGAGTTGCGATGAAAATCTTCGCCATTGCGAGGGGCGCTGCAGTCTGCAGGGGAGTTAGCGGTTTCGGGTGATCTGTTGGTTCGCGGGCGCCGGCGCTCTCCTGAGGCTGCTACAAGTTCTGCTGTTTTGGCTGTTCTGCTGTTTTGACTGCGAGTAATCATAATATACATTAGGCTCATAATAAATAAGTGTATTGATATAAGCTCAAAGTGATCAAGAGTCGTCATAATTTCATTTCGGTCTAATTCAAGTTCACTGGGTTAAAAGTAACTCAAAGAAATCAAAAGAGTAATAATAATGTCAGCTGAGTTCATTATAGATCATTTGGAGGTATAATAACACGAAGTAATCAAACGAGTAACCACAATGTCAACTAGGCCGAATTAAAGTCCATTTTGTCAACAGTAACTCAAAGTAATAAAACAAGTAATTTATTAAATATTAGCCCCAAAAATTATAACAGTCATCGCAATATCAATGAGGCCGAATTAAGGTCCCCTGGATCAAAAGTAACTCGAAGTAATCAAAAGACTAATCAAAATGACTGACTAAGCTCACAACCAATAAATTAGCGCTATAATTACACAAATTAAACAAGAATCACCAAATGTCACTTAGGCCGAATTAAAACCAATTGAATTGAGAGTAACTCAAAGTAATCAAGAGTAATCATAATGTCAATAATCATCACATAAAAATTCAACTTGTAGAATATTAGCTGAAAGTAATGAAGAGTTATTACAATGGCGTTTAATTCGAATTTATGGCCAATGGGTCAAAAGTAACTCGAAGTAATCAAAAGAGGAATAATGTGAACTGAGTTTATTATAGATCAGTTGGAGCAATAATAGCACGAAGTAATCAAAAGAGTAATCATAAATTGCAATTGTACTTATATCATCTCAATTGTATCAATGACAAGTCGAGTAATAAAAAAGATTGAACAAAACGTCCATTCAGCTAAAATAAATTCGAGTGCGCCATAATAACTCCAGGTTACAAAAAGAGTAATAAACATATGAATTACGCCTCATCAAAAGTTGGAGTAGTAACTCCAAGTAGTCACAATAGTGATCAGATCATCAGTTGTCCCCCCAAAAAAATCTAAGTGTATAAACAATTATTCTAAGTTACCAAATGTGTAAGCAAAACACGACCACTGAAGGCAATTAGTGCATATACTATATATTGTGGATTAAATTGACTGACCTCGGGATTAAAGTGGGCAGCGCAAGGATTAAATTGTGTGTCAATTGAATTAAATTGGGTGGTACTGGGATTAAATTGGTCGTCCCTTGGATTAAGATGAGCGGGAAAACCTGTAGTTCAGTGTGTGGCATCTCCAGATCAAGCGTCAATCTAACATTTGTCTGCATGCGCACTTTTCCTAGACATTTTTTGCTGACTCATTGAAATGAAATACTCGGCGCGCTTACTAACGCCTGTCCATGCACTCTTCCGAGAAAGAAAAAGACTGTCAAAATAAAGGCTGCTTCTGAAGCAAGTAGTTTCTTCCTTTGGCTTGTATCCTTGACGCAATATCTGTAAGAGAAAATAAAAGTGAGTTCTCCATTCTATGCCTTGTTCGTCACATTTTTCTTCTGTTGCACTCTGAAGCATATGAAGTGTCCGCGATTTATAAAGTTATCAAGTAAAAAAAAAAAAGTCAAATTTTTCCAGCACAAAACATATATGTGACAGGGTGGACGTTCACCTGCTCCAGCGCATTTGTTCTAAACGTAAATTGAAAGTAGTTTTTTTTTTTTATTCTTTCCTTTCTATTGCGTAACAAGGCGTCAGTAGATTCAGCTCTCGAAGAAAACGTCTAGTTGTCTTTTATTTACGTATTAACTATTTTACAGTATTCGGAACAAGGGGAAAATATCGCGCAGCGCCCCATTCCTATGCTCCGCACGCCAGCGCTGACTCGCCTGCTGCGCTCAGCGCCCTCTATTATTTTCATCGCAACTCTGTGCAGCCCTTCGCTCCCGGCCGCGACACTTCCCCTTCCAACAGGGGGGTAAAGGTGGGTGAGGAGGAGTGGCAAATCCCGTGCGCCGACATCCTGGGTCCCGAGTGAACGAACGCAAAAGAGAGCGACAGAACACGAGAGAAAGAAAGCAACGTTGCCATGGTAACGCGAAGAGTGAAAACTCTTAGCAATATAAACAGTGATAATTTAACGTTGTAAACTAAATTATGAGCTATTCTAACGCTTATAAAAAGCAATGAACTCATTACGCTGCATTAACTTCCCTTCTGCCGAAATCTCGGAAATCTGGTGGTTGCGCAGTTTCGTATTCCTCAACCGCGCCCAGCCGCGCCCCACTGGCGAAGCCGGGTATATGGTTTAGTTTAGCGTTAACGCGAGGCCGTACATCTGCGCGCTTTTCAAAAAGAAAGCTTCGAAAGGAACGTGAATATCTTTCCACCGGTAAGTTCGTGAATTGTTGAAGTTCACGAAACTGCTCTGATGATGTAACCGTGTTTGGGACCCAGAAGGTCTGCCTGCATGATCCGCCGCTTGCGGCAGCCAGAATGTATGGGAAAATGGCGGACCTTTTCCTCTAGAGTTAGTATGTATGATCTCTATGCCTTCCAACCACCATAGTTTTGTGGTCGGCGGCGCGGCGCCGGGTATTCATCGGCGGCTCTGATCGGTGGTGGCTAGCGGTGGCTTGCGGCTATTTTAAAGATTCCAATTGGACTTCTGAGCCATAGAGATCATACATACTAACTCTAGAGGAAAAGGTCCGCCACTTTCCCATGCATTCTGGCTGCCGCAAGCGGCGGAGTATGTAGGCCACTGATCTCAATGTCAATTGCTGGATCGCGCTTGCCGCTCCCGCAAGTGAAGCCACCGGACGCAACCTCGCTGGGATACGATTTCCCGTTTTGCTAGCCTTTTGCTGCGGTTTTCCAGCGTGCTGTAGACACGTTTTCTACTCGTTCGTCGTCATTCGCCGAGGAAGTTTTTTGAGACTCTATGTATTGTTGAGACTTGCCGTTGTGAACACGTGGAAAATTTTACGAAAGTGCAGTGTCGCAGGAAAAAGGCACAACGCGTCGAAAGGAAGGGCTGGCGGCGTGTTCAAAGCTTCCTTGGCACGCCGAAGTGCCGTGTCTCTGTGCCTTCGCGCGCTTGGATACCGACCAAGAACCGACGCCGTGTGAATGTGCTTAGCGAGTGCAATGTGCGTGAAGCCGTATCAAAAGGTACAACTCGTCGAAAACGTGTCGCCGGTGTCGCGGCGTGATCAAAGCTTCCTTGGCACGCCGAGTGATGCATCTTTGTGCCTTCGCACGCTTGGATACCGGTCAAGAATTGACGCCGCGCCTAAGTTCTGAACGTGTGTCGCGCGTAGATGCCTTTAGATCATTTATATATATCGGCCACGGAGTTCTGGATCGTCCAGCTGTTCCGGTGAGTTGCTATCAATAAAAGGGGGAGATCTGTACGTGGTCTTATGTACTATATTAACCATGGCTATGTCCCAAATCTACTCTAATAGATTCCGTGGGAGCACGAATAGGGCAACGTTGTGGAGCCAGGGGGGTTTTCGAAAGCAAAAGTACAAGACGGCGAGAATGAAAATCTTTGAAGCGCGGCCGATATGGTCGTGTGCAATCTGTTGACCAATTACAATTAGGCGAGCCGCGCTCAAACGTCAAGTGCAATTAAGTAGGTTGATAATAAGCCAGCACAGATCAGTGATGAGGAGCTGTTGTGCACGGTATTGTGTAAATCGTCTAAGGACGAAAAAAAGACGTACCTTCCCCCCATCTTCCGTCGCTAGTGGACGCTGGATTAAGCTCGTTCCTAAACCGCGAGGGGAAAAGACGCTGATCCAGAGGCACGAACACCTTCACGCACATTGCACTCGATAAACACATACACACGGCGTCGGTTCTTGGTCGGTATCCAAGCGTGCGAAGGCACAGAGACACGGCACTTCGGCGTGCAAAGGAAGCTTTGAACACGCCGCCAGCCCTTCCTTTCGACGCGTTGTGCCTTTTTCCTGCGACACTGCACTTTCGTAAAATTTTCCACGTGTTCACAACGGCAAGTCTCAACAATACACAGAGTCTTCAAAAAACTTCTTCGGCGAATGACGACGAACGAGTAGAAAACGTGTCCACAGCACGCTGGAAAACCGCAGCAAAGGCTAGCAAAAACGGCAAATCGTATCCCAAGCGAGTGAAGTCCGGTGGCTTCACTTGCGCTGCAGCGAACAAGCGGGGAAGCGCGATCCAGCAATTATCATAGAGATCAGTGATGCAGGCAGACCCTCGGGGTCCCACATGGTTACCAACTTCCTCCGATTTCACAAATATATCATCAGAGCAGTTTCGTGAACTTCAACAATCCACGAACTTACCGGTGGAAAGATATTCGCGTTCCATTCGAAGTTTTCTTTTGCATAGCACGCAGATGTACGGCCTCCCGTCAACACTAAACTAAACTAGGGGTGTCGCGAACTTTTGTCGAACCGGATTTTTATGTCGAACTTTCGGGATTCGACTGGGTCGAACCGGTTCGACGAACCTTCGAACTTTTCACCAGATTCGACCGGTTCGACTTTGTGGACAGTGTGGCCAGACCTT